TGCTGCCTTTAATGGCTCCCCACTATCAACATCATAAGACTCATTATTGACCAAAATCAACTGGACCAGCCATACAAATACTGGCTACAAAAGTTGGTTAGATATCAGGAATTCTGTGGTGAGTAACTTATCTCCCATTCCCCAATGCCTGTCCATGGTTTGTGATGGAATATTCTCCATTTGCATGGATAGCAATTTCAACAACACTCAAGAAGCTTGACACCATCTAGGACAAAGCAGCCTGCTTGATTGGCGCCTCATCCACTACTACCTTCAACAATCACTCCCTTTACCACTGATGTAAATTGACAGTAGTGCGTACCATTTACAAGATGCATTTCAGTAGTTCACCAAGGCTGCTTTGTCAACACCTTCTAAACCCATCACCTCTACCATCATGAAGACAAGAGCAGCAGATGCATAGGCACTCATAGAATCCATAGTGTGGAAGCAGGCAAAATTAGCACCACCCCTCCCCTACCCCGCATCCACATCGACCCTCCAAAGAGCATCCCACCCAGACACACCCCCTACCCTAAACCTGTAACCATGCATTTCCCATGGCCATGCATCTAACCTGCACATCTTTGGACTGTGGGAGGAAACTGGAGCACCCGACGGAAACCCACACAGACACAGAGAATGTGCAAACTCCAAACAGTTGCCCAAGGTTAGAATTGAACCCAGATTTCTGGCGCTGTAAGGCAACAGTGCTAATGAGCTACAATGCCAACCTGCATCATGTATAAGTTCCTGTTCAAGCCACACTCTGTCTGGCTTGAAATTATTATGTTTATTTTCTTTATTCATTCATGGATGAGGGCATTGCTGGCTGGGCAGCATTTATTGCCCATCCCTAATTGCCAAGCGGGCATTATTGTGTGTCTGGAGTCACATGTAGGCCAGACCAGGTAAGGATGGTAGTTTCCTTCCCTAAAGGACATTAGTGAACCAGATGGGTTTTTTCCAACAATCAACAATGGATTCATGGTCATCATTTGACTCTTAATTCCAGATTTTTATAAAAGATATCACTGTTCCTTCACTGTTGTTGGGTTAAAATGCTGGAACTCCCATCCTTTCAACACTGTAGGTATCCCTATAGACTTTAGCAATTCAAAAAGGCAGCTCAGCACCACATTCTCTCGGGAAACTATGGATGAAAATAAGTGCTGACCCAACATGTAACACTGATCTCATAAGCAAATGAAAAAAGCTTTCATTTCAAATGTCTCCAGCTCTTTCTCTGATTAATTACACCCATAACATTCGTGTGATCAGTTAGAAAATCTAGTTTTTTACATGTGCAGAAATTATCCTGAAGTCAAAAACAGTTTTATTTTATTGAGGACTATAGCCTTCTCCATCGGTGGACAAGATCACTATCATTTTGTGCATGAAACAGACCGGTGTGTGCACTTCAGCCTTCTACAGTTTACAAAAACAGGTTTGTGTCCATAAGAAAGCCACCTTTCAGGGAAGCGCAACCAATCTAGATAGACCTGTGAGTTATTTATTTACTATGCCAACTTGCTGCCAAAGAGGCTGTCAGGAAAGCACAAGAAGAAATGAGTTGCAATACTCAATGTCAGCAACAATCATTGACTTGAAGTGATCTCTCAACAGCTAAGTTGGAATTACTCTTTATTTAATCAACCTGTTTAGAAATGTTCTTACACACGTCTGGAGCAGGTGGGACTTGAACACTACCACTGTGCCACAAGAGCCCTAGCAGTACACGTAGATTAACGTAAGCTGTCACTCTAACTACATATCGGTATTGTCTTTCTCTTGTTAACACTATAGGCCAGATTTTTCTGCATGGTGTGTGTGTCTAAAGAATTGCCCAAGCAAAAGCATGTAGAGGGAAATCAGGTGGAATATTGCCCACACCAAAGAGTCTACAGGATTTTTGCATCCATCTAGATTATACTTAGGTGACTTCATGACAATATTTTGTGGGGTTTTTTTTTGGTTGGATATTGATTTTTTTTTCATTCTTGTGTTTACCAGAGGTCTGGTCTTGCTATATTCAGGAATGTTTGGTTCCAGACTCATGGTGGCACTGCCTGCTAGTAATGGAAGGAGTGTTCTCCCAGCAGTCCTGTTCTCTCTCACACACATACAGACGCACACCTTTTCCTCAGGTTATACGAAATCTTGTTACTGTCGTGACATTCAACAAAAATGATTTGCTGAGCTGACAGCATGCAGGTTTTCCCATTGAATGTTCACTTGCTGGGATGATTTTCAAATAGAAATTTTGGTGACATAGCCCCCTGATCATTTCACAACCAGATATTTGGTTCTGTTACAAAATGGGGACACTGCTCCTTTAGTGGGGGAAGACTGGGGACAAAAACATCCCTTCGAGTTAATACTCACGCTCCACAGCTTCGTGTTTGTTCAATTTTCTATAGCTTTTTGTGATAGATACCATGTTAGAACATAATCTGACTGCAGAGATGGTTTTGAATGTAGCCTGTATTTACGAGCAATGAAAGGTTTTCCTTGGGGAGTGAATCCGTTACAGGAATACACAATACTATTAATGGAAAATGAACAGTAATATGGTGAAGTAGAGTCAGAAAGCATGACATACGTTTCCCCTATACTGGTTTGAAGTGCTGTACTATATTACAGCAATTGACCAAAACAGTCACGGCTTTTGTTGTAATGTAATAGCAACATTTGCAGTTCTCTGGTAATAGCTATAAAGTGTTCCCTATTTTCGCAGTTGCTTTCTGCATGTAAATGTGGTAGCTGCCTTAAACTTTATATGTATATATATTTATGTACTTATATAAAAAACAATTTAACATTCTTAAAATGGAAATTTATTACAGGGAGGATTTAATTCATTTGATCTACTTTTATTTCCATGTAAATAACACACCTGATTATAAGAAGTACCTAACTGATAATAACACTGTCTTACAGAATGGAAAGATTTGAGTATTGTCCATTTCGCACCTTGTTTTGTTTCTGTTAACTCTCAAATTTTGCAAATGTAAATTTGTTTAAAAGCTTCCAAAGCAACGATTTAAATTGCAGTTGGAAGGGGATGGAAACACCATTCTGTTGTATCTCCATAGTTAAAGGTGATTAGGAGAAACAAATTGAATAAATGTTAAATACCAATTCCAAATCATACCAGCTACAAGTTTTGAATTTGTTCCACTTCATTCATTCATTTTAACTGCTTCACACCTCGTCGCGTTGTAGAGACGAGACAATGGAAAGACAGCTCAGTTGCAGCGCTAATGTTTCTGGGGAAAGCTCAAAGAGGTGACTGTGTAAGAATAACCCAGGTAATTTGATCCTCCAGTTTTTGAGGTTTACCAAGACAAATTACACATCATCCACTTACCACAACTTCCTATCAGTATTGGAAGGATTGTGAATACTGTATATGGGAAAGTACACAACTCAAACCTCTATACTGCTAAATTACGCAAGAATATTTTGCAGCACAAATCTATACACACTACAATGAATTAGTGCAAAATACCGAATATTTTCTTTTGGATCAAAAATTATACCTTGCATACCACTGAGACATGATGATTGCATTTAAATTATTTTTGTGACTTCAGTAATTGTAATCCAGTAATAGAAAACAGCAAAGTTAATTTGTCCAAAACCTGTGTGTATTTATGTTTGTTCTCCACTCCATTTTGTACCAGACCCTAAGCCCCATACTATCTATGCCAAGAAGGGATCTGGGTTCAAAAACCACACCAATGCTGTAATGAAAACAGCTGCCAGTGTGTGTAGACCAGCAGCCTGCTGATTGCTCACACTCCTCCCTTTCCTGACTGGCCCTCAGTTGTTACCTTGTAATAGCAATGCAGCTTAGCATGTAACGACAGGATGCTCAAGGTTTTGGTCTCAAGCCTATTGTCATGTCTAATGGACGTTTGAAGGCCGTGCATCAAATTTTAAATTCATGTTCCTGTTAATTAGTGTACGTCTTAACCTGAAGATCCATCATTCCATCGATGCTATTGTCTTTGCTAAAAGTGATCTCTTCCAAATTTCCAAAGTCATTAAATTCAAAAGGAAAATTTGACAAATATAAATTATAAACGTAGAGAGGAATCAGTTACATTAACATCATAGAACAGGTTGTAAAGTTTGGTTACCCCTGATATAGAGATCTAGGGGCCTGAGAATGAGATGCACAAGTCTTGCACAAGAAGTAGTGCAGCATTTCGGTGCCCAGTTTTCTGTGCCTCTTCTCAGCACTATATCAGTGATTTTCAATACAGGATTAGTCTGAACACCATCTTACAGAGGAATACTGTTACTTAGCAATTTAAATGGCAAGTCTCTGTTCAGAAAGGGAATCATCTGAGGAGGAATGGTTTTTAAAATATGCAAAATTCTGTCAAATTTTCCATTTTGAGATAGCTAATGATTCTTTTCTTTTCAAATGCTGATCTTTTATCAATGATAATTCTGTTTCCAGTTAGGTCCCAGATATAATGTAATCGAAGGGTATTGGACACTCTGTCTTCTCCATTTTAACAGGAGATAGCGGTGACAAATTGATGCCACAGTATTTCTCTCCGGCAGTCTTAGCATAAAGCGGCCAAATGATGTTCCACAGTAGAATTCAATTTCACAGTTCAGTTAGGTCCTTGATTACTCTGCCAAATTCAGATTAATGTGCATTTAACTAAAATGGATCAGGGGACTCTTGGCAGACAGCCAGTAGTGGTGCTGGCAATTGATAGCAGAGTTACGTTTTAAGTCCTGTCCATCCTTGAGCACTGCTGGTGAAAGTGATTGATTAAATGAATCAGGGGTTGTAATTATTTGCAATTGTGATACATCATGAGGCAGTGTCTAAGGCCTTCCATTCAGACTGTGTACATTTTCTCATAAAGAGGTTAGACCATGTCAGTAGGGATTTATTGGGTTTGCAGCAAGCTGTTCAGTTTTAGAAAAAACATGAGTGTAATTGGATTATCTGTTAGTATTTTTTTGTGTTATAGGTGGATTATGAAAAACTACAAAGGGGCGTAAGTCCTCCGCTGACTTGGTCAGACACTTATCCTCGAGGCCCATCAAAGCTACCTCAGGGTCCAACCAACCCCAACTACGCAACATCTGGCCATTATTTTCCATCATCATACTGCAAATCATCTCAATACCACAATACGCCGCCGCCGCCTCAATCGAACTTTCAATATGTTAACCAAGGTGCTTACCAGTATCCAAGCTGGAGTTCATCAACACAACAGCAACCCACACGTGTATCCCATGAGCAGTTCAGAGCTGCTCTGCAGCTTGTAGTTAATGCGGGTGATCCACGGGAGTACTTGGAAAACTTCATCAAGATCGGAGAGGGCTCCACGGGCATTGTCTGCATTGTGACAGAGAAGCACACTGGGAAACAAGTGGCTGTGAAGAAAATGGACCTAAGAAAACAGCAGAGGAGGGAACTGCTCTTCAATGAGGTTAGGGAAAACATATTTTTCATGTATGAGAATGTCTGTGACTATCAAATTTGGGGGATTTTGAACCAGTGACATTAATTAAAATATTTCTCTTTGCACTTAACTGACTGGATATTTTTCCTCATCAAGATTTATGTGCTAATGCAAATTGAAGGTGTACAGTGCTCTGCTTCATTCTTTTCCTTATGGCCCGTGATCAATTATCAAATGTTTAGAGCTTTCAGAACTGGAAACAATTCTGTTTTGTGTGTGGAAGTTAAACTGCTAAAGCTGTAATAACAGGTTCTGAGGATAAAGTTAAATATAATTTAAGTGAAATAACTTTGAGACATAACTTAAAATATTTTCCATTGTCATTCTCTAGCAGTTGAAAATGGAAACAATAGAATTATTTCAAGAATGGTGGGTAGTTTTTAGTGTTGGTGTGTTTTTTAGTGTTACTGGAGAAAGCTTAAAAATTACCAATACAAACTTCTTAAAGCTGTTATATTAAACATAGAAGAACTGCCAGTGGAGTAAACCTGTATAAAAGGAGAAATTTCTGTAACTTCACAGCAGATCCCTCAGCTTCTGGAAACGGTTAAAAATGTTGAAATCTACCACAAGCCTGTAACCTCAAAATGTTAACCCTTCTTGCTCTCCTGTAAGCTAACATACCTACAATATACAATATTCTTTTACATGAATATTTTTTCCCCCGTAGTTTTGTTTGGATACCCACGACTTAACGTAGCTCACCAGCACACTTCTTTTCCTCAGCCTGTGGTCTTCTCAATGGACTTCATAAATATTATCCTCCAATGTCCAGCTAGAAAAGACAATTTCCTTTTTAAAGAAAGGAAAAGGTTCCATTCAGTGTTTTAAGTTACATTTCCTCTTCTGCAACATTTTGCCCCATCTTATCAGCAACCTATTTCAGCTTTATACCCTTTTTCCACTGGCAATAGTGTTTTGTATACATTCGATTATTTCAACCCATCATTGGTTATAGAATCTCCAGTTCCGTTCTCTGCAGCTCTTCCTATCTATCTCCACCTCTCCTTGCACTGTCAATAACCTTCTCAAAACCTGCTGTTTCAATCCAGTTTTCAGCCACTCCTCCCCCAAAGCTGTCTGCATGGCTCAGTATTCTTAGGCTATTTTATATGTGTGTATAAAGAGGGATAGGATAGGGTATGGCAGGTGGGTCTGGGTGGGATGCTATTTGGAGGATCGGTGTAGACTCAATGGGCTGAATAGCCTGCTTCCACACTGTAGGGATTCTATGATTCTATCTTTATAAACACCATGGAGCATCTTTTTAAGAAAATTAAGATCATTGAAATATTAAAATTGTTCTTCTCAAAATTACTCACTATGTTTGTAAACAACTAAGAATTAGTGTAGGGGTTATAAAAGTTGCAGACGAAATGAAAACTGGGTAACAGTACTAGCTATTGATTTGGATAGCTGTAAGTGTTGGCATAACCATTGACTGGAGAAAGGAGTGGAAGCATGGAAGGCGAAGCTCAGTTGTGAAGCAAGTGCCTTTTGGGATCCCCAGTATGGAAAGATAATATGCTCTAAATGAGACAATTCTGAGCGCAGTAGCTGAGGAGCAAGACTGTGATGTTCATATATACAGTTTCTTAAATACGGTAAAACAAATACCTTAAATTATTTTTTTTTAAAAATTAACAAATTACTTGGAGAAATAGCATGAAATAGCATGAATCAGGGTAGGCGATGGCCTAGTCGTATTATTGCTGGATTGTTAATCGCGAGACCCCGGTAATGTTCTGGGGACTTAGACTCAAACACTGCCATGGCAGATGGTGGAATTTGAGTTAAATAATAATCTGGAAGTAAGAGTCTGATGATGACCATCAAACCATTGTCGATTGTCAGGAAAAACCCATCTGATTCACTGATGTCCTTTAGAGAAGGAAACCTGCCATCCTTACCTGGTCTGGCCTACATATGACTCTAGACGCACAGCAATGTGGTTGACTCAACTGCCTTCTGGGCAATTAGGGATGGGCTTAATCAGTGACACCCACAACCATGGATGAATAAAAAAAACTCCATGTTTTTATATTGTAAAACTTCAAAAATCACAAGGTACAATCAACTTTGAGTATTGTGTGTAATTCTGATTATCACACTTCAGCAAAGGTGTAAAGATCTTACAGAGGAGGAAGTTTACTCGGCTGTTTCCACCAATGCAGGAGTACACCTTGGAGGGAGATTGGGAAAGTTCTCATTGAAAGAAAATGACTTGATAGAGGTTTCCAAGGTGAGACAGTTTCACAGACTAGACAGACAAGAATTATTACCTCTAGCATGTGGGTCAATAATCAGAGATCAAAATTTCAAAATAATTAGCAAAACAACTAAAGGGGAACTGAGGAGAAATTTTAATCGCTTGGATCTGCTAAAATTTAGTAAAAAATGATTCCAGAAATAAGTTTAAAAGGAGGTTGGTTACTTGAGGATATGGGCTTACAGGGTTAAGGATCAGAAGGGAGGGTTTGGGACTAAGCATGACTGCTACTTCAAGGAGCCAACAGAGATGTAATCAAACAGGACATAAGTTATTAAATGATGTACAGTCTGCTTCAGAGATCTATAATTTTATGGTTTTATCTCATTTAACAAACAGGTTGTCATTATGCGTGATTACCACCATGAAAATGTGGTGGACATGTACAACAGTTATTTGGTGGGAGATGAATTGTGGGTTGTTATGGAGTTTCTGGAAGGTGGAGCCTTAACAGACATTGTTACACATACCAGGTATGTTTTCATATCTCTGAGTTTCAGCATCTACTTTAACTAGTTGAAATATAATCTGTTCTCAGACTATAAACTTTTTTTTATCAAATGTAATTGGTTAAAAAGTTGATTGTTTGAGCCCTTTAAATGGAATCTTAGTTTGAATTGATCTTAGTCATTTGTTGTATAAAGGTAGTGTCAAATGAGCTGCATTGACTCTCTACCATAGGAGACTCTGTTAGCTCTTCCACTGATGTTATTATTGACTGTTGACCAGGCTATACATGATGTAATTTATTCTCACATCACTGTAATGCAAATTGAAAACATTGGAAATGGCCATTAGCACCTCAAAAAGAAATGATGAGTTAACTTATGTCCTATTTGTGCCCTATGGGTTCATCATAAACCCCATGCCAACACATGCCATTTTACTTGTATGCGCTGGCCCCTCATATCCCCAATGCTTCTGTTCCCACCCTCGTGGCCCTTTATAAATTCTATGTCAATTTAGTGTGAATACATTCTCCCTACTCACCACCCTCTGCCCTTACATACACCATGCCAACTCACTCACTCTCCATGATAGGCAGTCCTCAAAACTCATGCTGAGATAAAATAATATAGCATGCTAATAGCTATTGCAGAAGTCACTACCTTAAAAGAAAACTCAGTGATTTAAAACCCATTCAGCACACATTATACCTTTCAACTGCTTAATCCTTAATGAAACAAATGTTTCCTTCAACTAGAGATAGTAGGAACTGCCGATGCTGGAGTTTGAGATAACAAGGTGTAGAGCTGGATGAACACAGCAGGCCCAGGCAGCATCAGAGGAGCAGGAAAGCTGACATTTCGGGTCTGGACTCTTCTTCAGAAATGGGGGAGGGGAAGGGGACTCTGAAATAAATAGAGAGAGGGGTGGTGATGATGGAAGGTGGATAGAGGAGCAGATAGATGGAGAGAAGACGGACAAGTCAAGGAGGCGGGGATGGAGCCAGAAAAGGTGAGTGTAGGTAGGGAGTTGCGATGGGGGTTGGTCAGTGGGGAGGGAGGGGCAGGTAGGTGGGAGGGAAGACGGACAGATCAAGGAGGCGGGGATGAGGTTAGCAGGTAGGAAGTGGGGTTGGGGGTTGGTCAGTGAGGTGGGAGGAGCGATAGGTGGGAGAAAAGATGGACAGGTCGAGATGGGCTGGTCTTGGGATGAGGTCAGGGGAGGGGAGATTTTGAAGCTTGTGAAGTCCTCATTGAGACCATTGGGCTGCAGGGTTCCCAAGTGGAATGTGAGGTGCTGTTCCTCCAGCCTTCAGTGGCATCGTTCAACTACTTAATCTCTTATAAAAACAAGCATTTGTATTCCTAGCCCCACATCAGAGACTTTATCACCACTTGGAGCTATCAATGTAATTGTGAACTGACAGACATACCTCTATGATGTTGAGGTGTGACTAATCATACAGCACAAATCCAATAATAATAGACATCAGACTTGGGTCAGCTGGCAGAGTGAAATAGCAAGCACTTATTCTTTTTAAACTGTGGACCTTTTTGAAAAGGTTGAGGGCAGGAGGTTAAAATGTCTTGCCAGCTTGAAAGTTCCAATTAGATTTTAATGCCTTAACTGATCCAAAGAATTATCCACAACTTATGCACATTGATGTCTCCTTTTAACAATACCAAAGGGCACTTGAATCCTCACAAAACGCTCCTTGTCTCTCCCAAAGGTCATTCCAGACAAATCTAAAAGGTCCCTTTATCTTTTCACTAGGGTAGCTTACCTTGCCAAAGAACTGCTCCAGACTTTCTCCTGAAAAATGTAAAACCTACAAGTCATGTTTTGGACAAATCACTGACAAAAATTGTATCTATTTGAAAACAGCTATACTTTTACATGTGCCTCTGCCTCTGAAAGCCATGGATGTGTAATCTACAATCCATTCCTTCCTTGAACAATTGTAGCATAACTTCTTCATTCTTGTTCTCCAGTCCTTTTGCAGTAAAAGCCAGTCTTCTTAATTGCTTGCTGGACCTGCAAGCTAAATTTTTGCACTATTTGAACAGGTACAGCTAAGTATTTCTGAACATCAGCATTTAGAAGGTTCACTTGCAGTGTCAACAAATGTAATTGCATAACTTTCAGTCACTTTGTCTGAGTCGCTGAAATCAATTACAACCAGATGAGGTCCCAGCACTGTTTGCAGCATTCCACTAAATGTAGCCTACTAACTTTAAAATACCCTATTTATCTTTCTTCTCTTCCTCTAAGGTTAGGCCTATTCAGCCCATAGAACCTGTTCCATCATTCAATAAGAATCACAACTCATTTGATTGTAGTATTAACTCCACCCCACCCCACAGCGCCTGACTCACTGGTAGATATAAGTTTGAGTATATTCAGTAACCCACCTCCACTACTCTCTGTGGAAAAGATTTACAAAGACTAATGACCCTCTGAGAAAGGAAATTCCTCATCTCCTACTTACATAGACAACATCTAATTTTTAATCTATGTCCTGTAGTTGTCCCACTCCAATCTTTGGGCCAGGCTTTCAGCTCTCTGATTTTACTCACTCTGTGCTAGATCTCTGGTGGCTTAGATATTAAATCAGAGTCTATTTATCTTTGTTGCTCTACTTTTTAACTTAGTCCCAAGCTACTCAGATTCTCTCAGCAGAACTTTGACTTAGTCCTACTTATGTTGTTCGCAGTGTTGGCCCAGTTGGCTCGATGACTGGTTTGTGATGCAGAGTGATGCCAACGCTGTGAGTTTAATTTCCACACCAATTGAAGTTACCATGAAGGACTCTCCTTCTCAAGCCATCCCCTTTGATTGAAATGTGGTGACACTCGGGTTAAATGAGAGAGCAGCCCTATGGTCCAGTAGGATTATGGCGAGTTTGCCTTTTATGTTGTTGACACCCATATAGATCTGTCTACTCGCATTCTAAGGTTCCCTCCCTGCTCGAGAAGATGTGTTTAACCCTGGCACCAGGCAGGCAACACAGCCTTCATGACTCCCTCTCAGTTGCAGTGAGCAGTATTTATCCGACTTAATATCTGTTCCGACTACCAACCACTTTCATTTTTAATCCTCCCACTTGACTTGTCCCTGCACAATGTTGCCATTTGATTATTTTCCTGACAGGCCTTTCTGTCCTCTGCACAAGCTATAAGAACGCGGAATCTGTTGTGTAATTGGAAGAACTCCATTGCTACTTTCTAGATCCCTTATCTACCTCCTGGACTATTAACCAATTCTTCTTCTATGTTAAGATATTACCATAGTACTTTATCAATGGTATTTTGGAAATCAAAGTGCACTACATCTACTCCTGTTTATACCCTATGAGTTAGATCGTGAATAAAAGCTACAATGAATTTGTCAAATGCAATTGTCTTTTGTAAAGCAATGTTGACTTTGTTTGATCGTGTATTGATTTTCTAGGTGAATTATTAAGACTTCCGCAATCACAGAATCCAGCATTTTCCCAATAACCAATGTTAGCCGAACTTGCGTCTAGTTTCATGTTTCTTTTATTCTCCCTGCTTTCCTGAGTAGGAGCATCATGAGATATGTTGTGCTCTGATGTGCCATGTCATCACATTGTTGCTCCCTATCTGGACTGCCATAACACTTGGATCTTGAAAGTGATACAGCTGAATAAGAGTGAAATTCAGTATTCAGTATGGTCATCACATTTATTGTACACTTACTGACATACATTTGCCTCTTGTATAATGACATAAGATATACATTAATACAAAGCAGCAACTTTAATCAGCCAAAATGGATGAGTTTGGTTTAGCTGAAACAAACACAAATTGCTGGTGGAACTCGGCAGGACTGGCAGCATCTGTGGAGGATTAGGCAGAGTTAAAGTTTTGAGTTTGATGACTTTTCATCAGATGTAATAGCAGCTGGGAGAAGGTAGTATTTATGCTGAAGATGAGGTTGGAGGTGGCATGGGAGAGGTGAGCGGATAGGTGGAGACAGGGCCCAAAGAATGAGAGATATGAAGGGAGTAGGCAGATGATGGCAGAACAGAAGCTGCATAAGTGATAATGAGAGCTGAGAATAGTAAATGATGATTTATTGTCACTTGTACTCTACAATGAGCGACACAATACAATACAGTGAAAAGCTTCAGCCAATGCCACAATCTGGCACCATTTTGAATAATTTAAGAATTAAAAGATATAGCTAAAGGAGTGTCAATCTTCTTTCCTCCGCCTTCAGTCCTGAGTCCTGAGCCCTGAGCTGATTGACCAACAACACCTGTGCCACCATCCCTCCGCTGCCTGTGCCGGACCCACCAACGTCGGAGCCACCACTCTTCAGGTGCCATCTCTTCGTCGCTGGGCCCACCTCACCATTGGCTGGCAATGCCAGGTCCCATGCTGGACCGAGACTCACCCTGCAAACAGGAGTCCCTGGCTCCAGGCCTACCAAAACCAAGAGAACCTGGCTACACTGCCAGGCTAGGCCAGGCCGCTGCCTCGCCAACAGTCCTGCTTCGGCCGCCCTCCTCCGCGATGTCACTTCTGCCGCCAATAGGAAAACAAAGAAAATGAAAGAAGACTAAAAGGGTGAGGAAAGAAGGGAGGAAGCAACCAGTCTGGAGTGGACGGGCCCAGGATCCTGAAAGTTATACCTACCTTGCCGCCGCCACCATCTTGGAATAGGAGAGAATATATAGGCTGTGCTGTTAGCAACCCGTGTGATATTTCGACTGGTTGTGGGGGTGGGTTAAAAATACAGAAGGATGGAATCAGGTTCTAAAGTTATTGAACTCGATGTTGAGTCCTAGAGGCCACAGGATCCCAAGCAGAAAATGAGATGCTGATCTTCAAGCTATCCATGAAGCTCACTGGAACACTGCAGCAGGTCTGCGATAGAAATGTTGGTGTGGGAATACGGGGTGTGTGTGTGTATGTGTGTAGAAACTCAGGGTCATTTTTATGGATAGAATGCAGGTGTTCTGTGAAGCAGTCACCCAATCTGTGTTTGCCTCCCCAGTGTAGAGGAGACCACATTGTGAACAGCGAATACGGTAGACTAGATTGTATGAAGTGCAGTTAAATCACTGCTTCACCTGGGAGGTATGTCTGCGGCCTTGGATAGTGACGGGCAAGGAGGTAAAAGACCAAGCGTAATATTTTACGCAACTGTAAGGGATGGTGTTGTGGGGGTGTGGGGAGGTATTGGGAATGGAGAAGGTGTGGACCAAGGTGTCCCAGGAGGAATGGTCCCTGACAAATGCTGAGAGAGAAGGGGAGAGAAATATGTGCCTTGTCATGGCATCCCATTAGAGCTGATAGAAATGGTGGCTTATGCCTTTCGATGCGGAGGCTGTGGGGTAGTGAGGACCAGGTGGCCCTATTGTTGTTGTGGGAGGGAAAGGAAGTGGTGGAGGCAGAAATGGGTTGGAAACAGCTAAAGGCCCTGTCAACCATGGTACTGGGGAATCCTCAGTTGAGGAAAAAGATGGACATTTCTAAGGCTCCACTTTTGAAATTGGCATCATCAGAACAGATGCAACGGAGACACAGAAATTGGGAGAATGGGATGGAGTCCTTACAGGAGCCAAGGTGTGAGAATGTATAGTCCAGGTGACTGTGGGATTTGATGGGTTTGTAATGGATATCAGTGGCCAGCCTATTGGGTTGGATGAAGATTGATACGGTATGCCATGCAGGGAAACCAGGCTTATTTCCCAAGAAAAACACACCAGACCAAACATAAAATCCAGTAAAAATTAGTAAATGTTGGCAAGGAAGATGCAAAATTCCCACGTGCAAGAACTTCAAGTAAAGCTTCAGTAAATCAGAAGTAGCCTTTGGTTGCTAATGTAAATCTATAAAAATTGTCCAAAATCTGTATAACATTAAAAGAAGTTCAGTTACCAAATCCAGGATTCTCCATGAATGGCATATGGTAAAACATCACTACCTCACATTATTGATGCCCATAGTTTAGATTCATAAATGTGCTCGACGCTATGGTTCCTCATCTCAAAAATTTTTTGGAGTTCCTACAGAAATTGGAACATATACGTGATTTTCAAAACATGTAGCAGGTATATTTTCTGTTAAAACTCATAAGCAACTAAATTAGCATTTTCACATTGCAAAGCCTATAAACCAGTTTTTAAAAGTGACTCCTATGTTATGCTAAATGTTTCAAGTGAATTGCACTTTTTGGATCCACTTTTTTCAGACATCTGAAAGCTGGTTAGCACAATACAACTTGTGCATTAAAATTTCATCTGAACTTAGCAGGAGTTGAGTTATTCCATTTCTTCTGATTTTAAAGCAGACTGATGTCAGCAGAATGCCAGATTACCATTTTTAATAGTGTAGAAACTCAGTGAGTGGTAGCAAGGCTATATGAGTTGAATTTCTTTCTCCTCTATGCATTCTACCCCACAGAGAACAGCAATGGCCTGTTTGAATGTGGAGATTCGCCATCAAAATTCTAGTTTGTTAACTTTTTAATGTTGTAGCTTCTGTTATCTTGAATGCAATGATGCAGTAATTATGTTTCTTTCCTGTATAATTTCATTAAAAATAACCAACTGCATTAAACCCTTGACTGAGGTAGGTTGAAAGTAGAAAAAGCTAAATATTCTTCAATAATATTAATAATTTGCTAGTTTTCTTTGTGTAGTGCAATATAAATAAAAAAAATAGACAATGTTTGTTAAGTTTTGGGCATTTTTATTTTATGTACCTCTTAAGTTCTCACTGCTGCCTTCTGCTAATATATTTGCTCTAATAGCCAAGTCTTCTTGGACCAATGTTGCTAATGTCTAAGAGTTGGCCCAATATATTTTACTGTAGGATGGAGTCAGATTTGTCTGTTCAGCATTTCCATATCAAAATATGGTGTGCATTGTCTGGCATGCAACACAGGAGCTTGTGACATTTATGCATTGGGGGATATTTGAGTTTCCATGTTGACACTGTTTTGGCAGGAGCTCCAGCACTTAGTCTGTGAATCACTGATGTTTGGTTGATCGTAACAGTCTAACTTGACTTTATCAGCCAAAAGATAGCGAATTTCAAAGCTGCACATTGTTTGAAGAGTTTCTTCTACTAACATGGTTAACAACAATTGCCTTTATAACTTTCGAATTTACCTTTGCAGAATGCAAGTGTTAAATCGGAGTTCACTGCAGTCTAAACTGTGAAGCAAAGTATTATAAATTCTGCAAGGCTTTCCTCCTATTCTCGGGGAACTGGAGTAGTGTTTGTTCATTCTGTGTAAATGGAACAATTTAAATGTTTAACATTCTGGATAGCTATTTTATATTCATTCATGGGATATGGACATCATTGGCTAGACACATTTATTGTCCATCCCTAATTACCTTTGAGAAGGTAGTGGTGCCCTTGGGCCTCTACAGTCAATTTGCTGTAGATAGACCCATTATGCGGTCAAGGAGAAAATTCCAGGATTTTGACCCAGCGACACTAAAGGAACAGTAATGTATTTCCAAGTCAGCGGGCTGAGTGGCTTGGAGGGGAGCTTGCATGTGGTGGTATTCCTATGTAACTGTTGCCCTTGTCTTTCTAGATGGTATTGGCCATGGGTTTGTAAGGAACTGTCTAAGGATTATTGGTGAATTTCTGTAGTGCATCTTGCGGATGAAACTCACTGATACTGAGTGTTGATATTGAAGGGACTGAATGTTTGTGGACGTAATGCCAATCAATTAATTTGAAAGAGAAAGCAGGATTAAAGTTTTAGTGTAGTTCAGTTGGAGGGACCAGGGTAAATTTATCAAAGATGATTCCTTTAGGCCAAGTAATAATTAAAATGAATACAAATTCTACTATCCAGTACGGATATTCTTTCCTTAATTAGAAATAAAGTACTGAAGTTGCTGGAGATCAGAAATACAAGCAGAAAGTGCTGGAGGAAGCTCAACATCTGTGGAGAGAGAAACAGAGTTGATGTATCGGGTCCAGTAGACTCTTCTTCAGAACTGAAGCTCTCAGAAAATCAGCCTTGTTGCCCTGGTTCCGTACAATTCATAGTGCGTGGCCATATTGTTAATAAGTTCAAGGGACAAACTGGCCAAAAATGGTGAAATAATTGAATAACAGTGACCTACGTTAATCTCCAACATGAAACAGTAAGTGAAATATCTTATTTAATTTGAAATCGCAGGGGAATAATGGAAGATCTAGCTTTGTACCTCACCAGCAAAATGTAGTATCAACATTTTTTAAAAAAATTATTTTAACTAATATGTGAAGTAGGTTGAGATGGAGGTAAACTTTCTTTGAGCATACTGGACATATGGACAAATCTGAGGCACAAATCGTGATACCATCAACAAGGGTCCTGAAGTAGAAGGAATCTTCCTGTTTAGGAGTAAATAATTGAGATTGTGTTTGTTTTTTTTTCTTTAATTTTCAGGATGAATGAAGAACAAATAGCAACAGTTTGCTTATCTGTTTTGAAGGCTCTAGCATACCTTCATTCTCAGGGGGTTATCCACAGGGATATAAAGAGTGATTCTATACTTCTTACCAGTGATGGACGGGTGAGCAATTTTATTGATATTTTCCATCATGCTACTAGGTCAATATAAGTTATCTTATTATGACAAACAATTAATTAATAGAATTTGATTAATAGATGTGATTCCATAATTGGAAGGCACGAGCTGAACAAGCCTGAGTCCACCAATACCTATACTAATAAGCAATAAGTTCAGCATATAATAAGGCTCACTAACACATCCTAGAAGTGACATACATTCATGCAGAGACCCATTCTCTGCCAACAGAAGGAATATGCTCAAGCCTTGTGTCCTTTGTGAATTATCCTGAAGCTTGCTGACCCTATAGTTCTCTGTTGTTTTCTTCATAGCAATCCTTGACCAATGAGCATCAACTTGCCAACCAGTCAGTAGGAAACTGCATATAAATTGTGTAATTATTTGAAATTTTGCACTCTTGTATTTGTACTGATAAATGCTGGACAAAAATGCTTCAGCAATATGTCTGTCATAGAATGTTAGTATGTTTAATAAAGAAAACCACAGAAAAGCTCTCCCATTTTAGCCCCAACAGTCATAGTTTGACATGTTTGACTTTGAAAAGAAAGTCTCAAGGGTGTTGGTAAATCAAATTTTGCAAAGGAAATTGATTTTAGAATTCTATATTTCTTTCTTTCTTTCTAGATTAAACTGTCAGATTTTGGGTTTTGTGCTCAAGTGTCAAAAGAAGTTCCCAGGAGGAAGTCACTGGTTGGAACACCATACTGGATGGCACCAGAAGTCATCTCTCGATTACCTTATGGAACCGAAGTAAGGATGCAACTGGAATTATGCAGCATATTTCCATATGAAACCAGTCTGGCTTGTTTTAGTATTATGACATATTTAATTGCATGAATTACAATATTTCATTTTTTTAATTCTAGCCATAACTATTGCTACAATACTTTGGCAGCTGTGATCAACATATTAAATTATTGTTATGTATTCAATGGACGACATTAAATTATTTTTCAGGTGGATATATGGTCTCTTGGTGTCATGGTAATAGAAATGGTAGATGGAGAACCACCATACTTTAATGAACCACCTCTGCAAGCCATGAGGAGAATACGAGACAATCTTCCTCCAAGATTAAAGGATGTACACAAGGTAGAATTCTCAAACTGTTTCTCCCAAAATATTTTGTATAATCAATCAATATGTGAGGACCAATTTTAACCAGAATGAATTTTAGACAGGTAAATTGAGTCCAAAACTAGCTTTAAGGATGCAGTTAAAGGGTTAACAAGGACTTCTACTTGTGCAAAAAAAATCGTATCTTTTTCTTTTACTCAGTTTTTGATTGTGGACTAAATTGAGAAACGTGGTGTATTACAGCAAAAGACTGAGGAAGAAATTGGTGTACTTTTTAAAATGCAAAGTTACTGAAACCTAGTGTAGGTCATGTTTACACTGTCATTTCGTAAGCAGTGGGAAAAGGTATAAGAGGAGACAATTCAGCACTGGCACACATGTACGACGTGAGATTCGACCGCCAACAGGTTGCTGATTAGTTGGTGGGCTTGTGACCAGTTGTGGATGTCAAAGATCATCAGCGTGATTACAACTCTGATTTGTAGCTAAACAGTTTGAGAGTGTGAATGAGAACTGCAAAACCTTCAGACTTCCAGAAGGAGAGATGATGTGTAAAGCAATGTTATTTCAGTCTGAAGAAAGCCAGTTATTTCCTCCCACTAGTTGCTATAAGCTCTGACTTTTAACCAGTAACTAAGAGATTTTACAGTTAATGTACCAATTGCCCTGTGCCTCCTGCGAAGAAGTAAAAAATTACTGGAGATGAGAGATTGAAGAACAGAGAATCCTGGCAATCAAAAGACTCATCTCAGTGAGCTCTCTGGACTGGTGCTATTGAAGTGTTATTGAACCAAATGTTTCCCCCTTTGATAAAAAGCACTTTTTTTTGTTTATCTGTGTCTGTCTGTATGCAAGAGAAGGATTTTTGAAAAGAGTTAGATTTTAACTGGTACAGCCATGTGTTGATCGTTCGTATCTGTTTACTTGTGATTATAATTTACATGTTTATAATAAATAATTATTCCTGTTAGGTACAGGAACCTGGTGTTTTTTGTTAACCTAGATCTCTCCAATAGGTAAATTGGGAACTTTTGCTACCTTTGATAAAATGTTTAACTTTTGAGACTCCAAGAAGAACAAGGCTTGTTTTCCAGCGTGGTATCCCAGTGAGGCATGGCATAACGCAGGGGGGCTTTACCTAACTTTTCACAGGAGAGAAATGGATCACTCACCAGAAGTGGGCTCTGATCAACTGCTTTCTGAATCCTGTGATCAGATAGGCTGGGCTGGCCTTTTTCTGTTCTTTCTCCTTCACCTTTAATCGATTGCTGCCTCTGAAATAATGCCTTTTGTTATCGCTTTACCTCTTAAAAACTGCAATCCTCTGGTCATAGGTTTATGGCGAGCAGGGAAAGATATAAAAGGGACCTAAGGGGCAACATTTTCATGCAGAGGATGGTGCATGTATGGAATGAGCTGCCAGAGAAGGTGGTGAAGGCTGGTACAATTACCACATTTAAAAGGCATCTGGTTGGGTACATGATTAGGAAGGGTTTAGAGGGCGAGGGGCCAAATGCTGGCAAATGGGACTAGATTATTTAGGATATCTGGTCGACATGATTGGACCAAAGAGTCTGTTTCCATGCTGTGCACCTCTTCAACGCTATGGTGCAAAATACAACACAGTTCTGCATTCGGTTCTGGGCACTGCACCTTATGAAGACTTTATGAAATGCAGCACCAGATTCACCAGAATGATATAGGGGCTAAAGGATTAATTATTGGACTGATTGTATGTTTGTATTCTTTTCAATATACAAGATTGAATGATGAACTAATTGAGATTTAAGATAATCAAACAAATTGATGGTCCAGATGGGAAGAGTAATTCCTTCTGCTGGTGGGGATATCCAGACAAGGAGGTAAAAGTGTTAAAAATAAAGTTTAATGGATCAGAGTGATAACAAAAAAAAATTGAACTTCCTAAGGAAGTGGTGCATGTGGGTACAATTACAACTTTTAAAAGACATTTCGATAAGTACATGTATAGGAAAGGTTTGGAGGAATATGGGCCAGGAGCAGGCAGGTGAGACTACTTTAGTTTGGGATTGTGTATGGCATGGACTGGTTGGACCGAAGGATCTGTTTTCGTGCTGTATGACTAAGAGGTTGTGGAAATCTACAAATATCACCAACCTAAAAGCTAGCGATGCTGGGGAATCAGTTGAAAGTTTTAATAACAAGGTAAATTTGTGTTGGCCCAGAGCATTGGGTAGTATGGAACCAATATGGACAGACAGAGTTAAGGTATGGATCCACCATGATCTAACTGAATGGCAAAACTGGTTTGAAGGGGCAAATAATTTACTTCTGTCCCTATGATTGCTAAGGATTGTTATCAGTAACATATCCTAAGAGAAAAGGTAGTAAATTGAAGTTGAGGGTTATCAGAAGCTCTGAAGAAAGATCACAGAACATGAAACGTTAACTCTGTTTTGTCTCTATAGATCTGCTGATTTTCTCCAGCAATTTCTTTTTTTGTTTGTAATTAGGCAAGAAAACTGATTTTCTATATAAATCTAAATAAATCTCCGAGCTGTATAATATCACTTCACCCTCAAATGATGCTGTTTCTTAAAGTCAAAATTGCATGACTCAGCATGTTTTTATTAAAAATCAATATTTCTTTTTGATTTAGAGACCTTAAAGATGCCTCAATTATAATTCAAATCCGGGCACCCGTTATGATCTTCATTCAGTTTATCAATAATAGTATGACTGAGACACTGTGAAGAAATTTAATTGGAGTTATGAATGGTGAATAATTCACCTCCTTGGTGAAGAATGATTTAATATTGATAATAACATTTAGATCCCAGCCTTTGTGTATAACACCAATCAGGAAACCTGACAATTGGAATTAATTTCTGTACTTAAATTTGTGTCATCTGCTTATCATCTGCTCTGACCAGAAGTTAGTCTAGTCTCTGGGCAAAAATGCAAATATTTAACTTTATTTTTAGGTATGTATGCAGGATTAAACAGTCAGCTATACCAAATAACTCCAATTAGAAATGACCAAATGAAAGAAATAAAGTGGAATCAATTAAATAAAAGCTATAAGAACAGGTCAGAACCTTGGAATTTTGTAGTGAGTAACTCACCTCCAGATTCCCCAAAACCTGTCCACTATCAACAAGGCATAAGTCAGGTGTGTGATGGAATACTCCCTGCTTATCCGAATAAAAGTGGCTTCAACAGCACTCAAGTAATTCTACGCTATCCAGGACAAAGCAGCCTGCTTGATTGTCACTTCGTCCACTTAATTAAATATTCACTGCCTCCACCACGAATGTACCATGACTGTTATGTGTGCCACCTACAAGATGCACGACAGCAAATCGCCAACTTTCAAGATCTCTCCCATGACTCCCTGCAAGTTACGCACCGTTCTGACTTGTACCTGTATCTCTAGCCTTCACTGTTTCTGGGGAAGAAACCTTAGTATTGGTACCTACACCAAATGGACTGCTAAATTAAAAACCAAAAGAACTGCGGATGCTGTAAATCAGGACCAAAAACAAAGTTGCTGGAAAAGCTCAGCAGGTCTGGCAGCGTCTGTGGAGGAGAAAACAGAGTTAACGTTTCGGGTCCGGTGACCCTTCCTCAGAACAGAATGGACCCCTGCAGTTTAAAGAGAGGAGGAGCTCGTCACCACCTCAAGGGCAACTAGAATTGGGGAGTAAATGTTTGCCTGTCCAGTGAATGCCGCAACCCATGAAAGAACAAAAAATATTGATTGCCAACGTGCATTCTCTATTAGTCTAAACACTTATTTCTGCAAGTAACATCATAAGGAAAGTGCAAAACTTACAAGAAAATAATTAAACTTGTATTTCGGAATTCATTCTCTATGCTTAATTATTTATCATCAGATACCTCAGCCTCTCGGAAAGGCAATGAGTATGAAGTTAATGGCTTTTTCAAAATCATCAAAGGGAGATGAAGAGATTTACCTTACCTATAATTCAGCAAGCAATTGTATGTCTAATTTCCAGTGTGTGGCAGTCTGATCATTTTCACTGTGTAGGAAGGTTTTAGCATGCATCGGTTTTATTCCCTGCCAAAAATCTGCAATGCAGGTTAAAACCTGAAGGAGGAAATGCTGTGGATAGCAACCTACAAACTCTGAAACGAAATATAAGCTTTCAAATATTTTTACAAAGGTATGTTTTGATACGAGCACTATTTCCTCAGGATGAATTTTTTTTTTGTTTGTCTACTGATAATGAGAGAAGAGAAGCAAAACAAATCAAACAAGCGACGCATGTATACCGAGAGGATAAACACTGCAGATACAGCAAAACAGAGATGATCCGTGAAAGAGAAAAACACAGAAAAGAAAGATTGTGATCCTGAGACAACTAGCAGGGGATTAACACTTTTCTCCTCATTCCAGCTGATGTTTCCCCTCACCAACCCTTTAATATTAAATTAATAATATGTTTTAAAAGGCTATTCCTCTTGTGACTCAGATTGCTTGAAATTCATATGGCATGCTGATACACTGAAGTGAATTACTCGCCCTTACTGTCATAAAGCAGTTTGCATTTCATGGTATATCACTCCGGTCATTGAAAAGCTTTCATTTACTGTAAAAACTCTACAGATGCTTTGGGTATTATCTTTCTAAAAACAAATTCAGCTAGTATTCAGATGTATAGGTCATAATCTGTTATTATGCAAATTTTCATATTGCACTAGATAAAATAATTATTAAAGGAAAGTCAATCATGATTTTAGTGGCCCAAGTGCCTGCTAATACCAGTCAGCGCCTTAAGATGAGAAGGCAACCATAATTGCACTAGCATTAAAAGAGAGCTCCAAAATAGACACTAGTACACGTGCATGGCAGAATAACACATTGGTGCATTATGTGGCATAATGCCCTTATAAATCAACATACCTGTCAACCTGCCATGAATAATGCCTCTAGTATTTTAATGTTAGTATTCAACAACAAAATAAATGTATTTTGTTACAAGTTACACACTTAGAAACATTTATTTCTTAGAACATTGCAATTTTAAAAAAAAAATATCAACGTTAGGACTGCTTCCCTGAAGAAGGCGAAGTGGAGATCTGATAAAGGTATTCAAAATCATAAGGGGTCTGAGCAGAGTAACTAAGAAGAAAATGTCCTTACTTGTGAAAGTCTCAAGAATGAGAAGGCACAGGTATAAGTAGAAAAGAAGCAAAAGTTATAAGGGTAAATAAAACCTTTTTCACAGCATGAACGATTAAGTTCCAGAATACACTGCCTGATTCAATCAAAGCATTGAAAAGGGAATTTGACTCTGTTCTGAAAATGGACAATGTTTAGTGTTACGGGGTGGAGACAGGAGAATGGGTAGGTGAATCACGCATTCAGAGAACTAGTGTAAGCACATGGGGCTGAATGGTCTCCTCCTGTGCTGTAACAATTCAGTGATTCTGTGAAATATGTTGATTCTCTAAAACTAAAAGTGTGCACTACTGGCATATAAATAATAGTTTGTGCACAGATGCATTATACGGAAGTGGATAGGTGTTATTTTTTAAATGACTAATCTTTGTACAACAAACTCACAAAATTGTAGCATTTATGAATAAAAATAAATGTTAAGAAAAATTAAATGAATTGTAAATCTAAGCAAATTAAGTGTGTTTCTGAGTCAAATGGCAAGTAATCAAGACTATTTTACATTTGACCCTTTTCTTTACTTCCTGATCTGCTTTAGGCTTCATCTGTGTTACGAGGCTTCCTGGACTTAATGTTGGTTAGGGATCCTTTACAAAGAGCATCTGCACAAGAATTATTAAAGCATCCATTCCTCAAGCTAGCCGGACCCCCGTCCTGTATTGTACCTCTTATGAGACAATACAGATATCGATGAAGGGAGAGGAATTCAGCACCTCCTGACACATCAATGAAATGAGAATGAAACAATAGATAATAGTACCAGAAAATGTGAATGAAGAAGATTGAAGGATATTACAATGATAGCAGATTATGATCTTTCTTTAAAGTGTTGGTCAAAGAGATATACAAAGCAAAATAAAGGAATCTATGACGTGTTGTACTCCAGTTCCCTGAGCTGCTGGTGTACCAATTCAGGTGCATAGTGCCGCAGTATAATCAATCAGGTAGTCAGGAGTTGTATTCCCGTGATATGACTTGGCTAGTGACTTCAAGCTGTACCTTCTGGAGCTTAGTTTCCTCAGGAGGTCAGTTTCTATGGCTTTCAAAATGTGCAGGGGATAGAATTCATATCAGCTTCAAAGAGTCGGATATTGTAACAGATTTCAGCACATTCAGAACTTTTCTGCAGGGTCCTGCTCAGTGAATTGTGTGAAATTTGTATTTCTATAAAATAGTGACTTTTTTTTCTTTTGGTGAGCACTTTTTCCACACTTAGATGTGCAATGTATTTTGGATTGAATTTGTATCTTGCCTACATTTTTTGTTTTCTGATAAACTAACAGTGTTTTGTGGTGAAGTAACAGTTGTGATAGCAATCAGTATTAAGAAGATTTTTTCAGGGAAATTAACAAGACCTTTACATGGGTGGGGGTTAGTCACTTTGTAGGAGCAAATGGTTTGAGTTGCAGATATTAACAAACTTGTTCCAAATTTATGTACTGAAACAATTTGTTTCTGACTTAAGGCACTGTACTGAATATTAAAGAACTTGTTCACTTTGATAAATTAACAGTTTTTCTTGACCACATGTTCTTTTATCATTTTTTAAGAATATTTTTGCTGCTGTCTACTCGTCAGTGTTTATAACATTAAATTAAATGTGATGTTTGTTAAATATGGTTGCATGTTTTAACAGTCATGCAAATTTTGATGGAAACTTAGCTGTATTGCTGCGTAGAGTGAAATGTGTGTGCCTCTGCAAAGGAAATAAATGATCCTGGTTATTTATTACATGCCTTTATTTTGTTCCAACATTCACAAAGCATGAATAGTAAAATACCTAAGTTTGCTGTCATAATGTATGTCACTCACTAGTCTTATGATCAAATGATTGATTATTGCACTGTAGGAATGTTGTAGTTGTCCTTCTGTCAAATCATTATTATCTAGAAAATTGATGCACCATTAGGAAAGTAAACAATAAGGAATGAATATTATGAAGGTCCGTGAAATCAAATTCACAGCAAGCCCATTCACACATCAGCCCTGCGTCTGCTGACATATACTGGCACCTGCTTAAGCAATGCTTTAAATCCAAAATTTGCTCCCTTGTTTTCAAATCCTTCCATGGCTTCACATTTCCCCATCTCTGTAATCTCTTCTAACCTTCCAGCCCTCTGAGATACTGTATCTAGACTTCTCCAATTCTCATGTCTTGAGCATCCTACAGTTTTAATTGCTTCATCACTGGGGGCTGTGCCTTCAGCTCCCCTGGACCCAAGCTCTGGAATTCGCTCCCTAAGTCTCTCTGCCTCCCTACCACTCTTCGCTCCCTAGTAAGATGCTTACTAAACCCACCCTCTTTGACCAATTTGCCATAATATTTCCTAACGTGACTCATTGTCAAGCTGGCATTCTAGCAGTTGTGTAAATTGTCCTTGAGTGTACTACATTAAAGAGACTTAGGTCATAGTTTAGGGATAAGGGATAGCAGATTTAAAATTGAGAAATTTCTTCTCTCAAAGGGTCATGAATCTGTGGAATTCATCCCCCAGAGTGTGGCAGACACTGGGACATTGAATAAATTAAAGGAAGAGACTGACATTGTTTTAATTGGTAACAGGCTAAAAGGATTATGGGAAGTGGGCAAGAAACTGGTGTTGAGGTCAAGATGAGATCAACCATTATTGTATCAAATGGCAGAGCAGGGGATGAATTGCTGACTCCTGCTCCTAGATCTTAAAAATATTAGTGTTGGAATGAAGCATGTAATTGCTGGAACAGTTTAATTGATGCAAAGTAATAATCACAAGAAATATTCATTATAACACATCTTGTTCCACCTGACTTCATTTTTGTTTTATTTCCTTACTTTGCCTAGAATGCCACATTTGTAGAGAACATTTTTTTTATCAGTCCAATGGATATGATGATATTCTACATTCATGAGCAAATTTCAAGGAAGCCTCGAACTAACTAACCAACTCATTTGACCTGCTGTCCAGTATAGCATTGGACATGTTATTCAAGGCTGACAAAAAACACTACACAGCCAATTTATTACTTTTGAAGTGTAAACATGGTTGCAATGTAGGAGAAAGGCAGGGCTGTTTTTGTGGGCAGCTAGACTTGCTGCCAATCATTTAAAAAAAGGTTGTCAATGCTTCAAAGACAATTCCCACATTTCCGTTATACATATATTTTTGACCTACACAGAACATCCTGATTGGATTCAGGAAGAAAGACTTTGTCAACACCTGTCTTTGATAACCTGCCAACATGTCAAAATATAAACAGGTATAACTGAAGCTCCTCTCTCTCTCTTCTCTCTCTTCCATGTCTTCCCCCCACCAACTCCCCGACCCCCACCCATTCCTATTATCCCATTACCTAGGCTTCTTGTCCTAGTACTCTGAAGAGACCAACCAAAATAGCAGAGTTGTTCTCAAGCCAACACAAGCAATTGCTCTGGTGATTATTAGTCTCGTTTGGTTCCTGTAGATGCTGTCAATTCTGTAAGTCCTGCAATAGCTTCTAGTTTGAAGGATTAGCTTTCCAATTTCTGACTGATCCAGCAGAGATGTCTCAAGAGCTAAGTTAATATGTTCAAACCAAAATGGAACAGTTTTTATAACCTGTTTTATTGGGCAAGTTGCTTACATAGCTGTTTGTTTAATTGTATAGCAAAATAATAAAACAGAGTAAATTTTAACCAACGATTCAGTTTTTTCCAATATGTTTTTGTGTTTTATTGTTCTGAACTTAAAGAGTCGGTAATTTGGTTAGACTCCTGGTTGCGATTTCAGCAGACCCAGAGTGTGGACTTCTAGTTAATGGCAAGGAGGCAGCAGAACCAGGGACACCTGGTTGTGGTGTGAGTGTTGGTTCAGCAACAGGCAATCTCAAAAGCTTAGCCTGCATTTTTGCCTCAGATGGTTTAATATAACATCAGTGATATCTGTTACTCATTGAACCATGTTACAATGCTAACAGATAATGTGCTCAATTTACCTTCTGAGCCCTGTAGAGGTTGTACTCCAATCTGTTCCTGCAATGTTTGTGCAGAGGTATAAGAACAAGGTTGAGTGCAGAATACATGTTCAGAAGACTTGTTTTCTGAACAAGGTATAGTAATATCTATAGGTGATATTTATGGATGAGTTGATGGACAGGTCTGTTAATAAAACATGTCACTGTCTTCAAATCACCATTCTGAGTTTAATCATTATAAACCATATCTCTCCACCTCAGGAATCTCATGCAAAACATAGTTGTAGCTACAAATATCATGTCAGCAGAAAGCAGTGATGTACTATTTATCCCTGCTGAGTACTAACCCAAGGATTCCTAATGCTCCACAAAAGGTTATTCATAAGAATTTGCACCTCTCTTAAGCAACAGAACAAATTTATTCCAGAGGGCTTTCTACTCCAAGGCAAACATTATGAAAAAGATCTGAAAGTATCACAAAATGATAGAATGGGTAGCACATGGGGAATTTAATCTCATTCTTTGATCTGCTTTTATCACAGGGTACACAAGCTGCTGAGTTAATAATTACACTGGTTACTTTTGGCTACTGATCACTGTGAAATGAAAAATAAGATCTTTGTGAAATAAGCTGTAAATTAAAGAAAGTAATTCAGCAAACATTTGTTTTCAGAATTAATTATGGGGTGAATGCACAATCATTCATTAAAAAATAAATATGATCTATGATGGATGTGACAATGTGCTTTATCTACATTTTTCTTAAATAAAATTGCCCTCTTTATCAAAGATACATGTAACACCAAATAAAACTGTGAATGTACTAAAAGATGTCAGTTTCTAATACAAATCTCAAGATTGTTAGAAGAACTTCAATCGTGGATTCTAATGATAACAACATTGATAAAGAATAAAAGTGACAAGTGCATGGAGGAGCAAACCAAAAATGCATCTGAATTAATTAGGAGACTAGGCCGCAGTATAACAAAAGCTAATTTAATATGTTCAAACCAAAATGGTACAGTTTTTATAGTCTGTTTTATTGGAGGAAGTTGCTGATATAGTTGTTTATTTAATTGTATAACAAAATAATAAAACAAAATAAATTTTGACCTACAATTCAGTTTTTCCCAACTTTCTTTTCTTAACTTAAAAAGTCTGCTATGTTTTGTATGAGCTATGTTGCACCATCTATTTTAATTGTCTTATCGACATTAAACTAATTTAAAGCATATTTTGGAGACAGTGGATTCATAGCTGTGGGTTGGTAAGGAGTCATGGCACATAGACATTGGGGAAAATGTCCTCCCAGCAAAAACAGAAGCAGTAGTGGAAGGAGCCCACAGATCAACACAAGGAACAGGATATAACTTAGAGGGGGACAAATCCCACCTGCACCAGGGGTGTGTCATACCATGTCCAAACAGGTTGATTAAAGCAACGTTCAGTGATATGGATGGTTTGCCCTTGGGGAGAGGAAACAGAAGAAAACTGGCAACAAACTGATCAATAATTCCCAGTCACCAACCTTCCTTGAATTTAGTTAACTTTTGAAGCAGCATGTTTTACTGTACTTTAAACATGTAAAGGACTTAGCAACTAAATCTGAGTACATAACTCTTGTGGGTTTAGCTTAATCTTTTTACCAGAGGTATTAGCCACTGCATAACTAGAATACAGAACGTCAGAAATCAGTGGAACGCCTCAATGGCTGTTTTAAAGCATTCGTTCAAAGAAAAAAAAAATTCTGGTGTATTGTGAAGAGATCTTTGCTCTCACCACTGCAGAACAAACAGCAGTACTATTGCGGCGATGAAATGAGAGGAAAACATTTTCCAATGATCATAAGAACCACAACCTCATCCCCTCTATTTGTAAATTGAGGGCAGTAATGATCCCAAATTGGTCAGATGTCAGTTAAGGACTAAGTTCGGCTTCAGTCAATACAGTGGAGCTGGAGGAACACAGCAGGTCAGGCAGCATTCGGGGAACAGGAGTTCCTACTAAGTTCCGCTTTCCTTCATTTAAATTTCTACATGTAACAAATAAACAAGTATTGCGCTCCCTGTCTGTCTTTCTAAAGAAGCAGGGGTGAAGAGAAAGGAACTCCGTGACTAGCAAGGCAATACAAGACATTATGGACGCATGTTAGAGAAATGACCTGTATACTTGCACGATGCAAATTAATGTACATTTGAGGTGCAATTGGACCGGATCCCCTTTGCATCCCTGAGACATTCAGGCGTCATTTTTTCTTTCCCTGACAGTGACTGGATTTCAGAGACCTTTGCCGAGAGAGTTTCAGCTAAAATCTTCCTGCCTACGGTTTATCAAATGTCGGTGCGGGTATGAAATATTGTGACTGCTTCTGTTTGGCCTGACCTCAACAGTGCTTCGAGTGTAACTTCAAAAAAAGTCAAACCTCAAGATTGAGAACCAAACCACAGATTAAACCCAGGGACGCCGTTCAGTTTTCCTTTTAAAACTGACTGATTTATTTCTTGCGTTCAGGACTACGTGCTATAGACCGAGCCCGAACCAGTTCGGCTGAGGATTTTTGTACAAATTCACGTGCGTGTTCCTTTTTCAATTCATGCACCACCGCTTGCCCCGTGTACATTTCAAGCAAAAAAAGCGTTTGAAGGAACCAAATCGAGTTGTACCTTCTGATTAATAGCCGTTTCGAAATATTTGCAGCAATGCAGGTTTTCAATATACTATACAAATTGGCGTTATCACTAATTCCGTAATCTTTGCAATCATGTTAATT